AGCAAGCAAGCAAGCAAGCAAGAGCCAGTCAAAGCGACCTGAACTTCCGCAGAAGAACCTTCAGCCTTGAGCCTATGTGGCCGCTAAGCTGCTGCGACTGCGGCATGGAATCGACATAACGTGTAGACTTCATGAGCAATATGTGGATCTGCTGATAGATAGATGTTGTACTACAGTATCCCCCACACCATATCCGAATCCTCTGGTCATCCTTACTCTTAAGGCTATTTTTTGTGGCACTGCGCCGTCCTGCTTTGTAAATCCGTACCGGCACAAAAGCATGGAACAGAAACTACAAAATCAGTGCCGGATTGCATAGTCCCGTGTTCGCAATGCTAAGATGACAACTGCAAGAAGAGTCTTTGTGGCAGCAGAACTTCTGATAATGAAAACTATCAAGATCTATCAAGCACATTCAGCCACAATCAATGCGTGCGCTTCGCATGCACACTGAGGTTTATGGCATCCTAGACCCTAAACCTGAAATTCTGAACCCCAAGTCAAAAACCCTAAGATGCATTAAGACTGAGAGTCCGATTGAAGGCAGAGATCCGAGGGAAGATGGTGAAAGCTACGGGGTTGAAGAGAACCGGAGGAAGCGTGCACTTAGACACCTTCAGGAATGAGGAGGTTTGGTCGGGGTTCAGAAGGGAGCGATTACGTGGCTTACTGTTTTGGGGGGTTTTAGGGGTTGGTTGAGTTGAAAGTCAGTTATGACCCGGTTTCCTTCTCTTCGGAGTGCTGTGCGGAGGAGGGTTTGCAGCTCGACACTGTCAGCTACAACATCGCAGCCCGGTTTTGCAGCATTTGGGGTTTAGGATTCATGGATCATGCAACACTTTCGCTTCAGTTGTTCAGTATGGCGGAGAGGGCCCTCTGGCTAATGGATGCAGGGATGGCGAACTTACCGTCAACGGTTTATGGCAGAAGCTCCGAAATTGGAACTGGTGGCTCCCTGCCCTGCCCTGATCGTGCTTGCATATGGAGGGCTCCTGAACTTCGGCATCGGCAGCGATTTTGCAACTTGAGATGTCCATGGCCTGCGGGGGTATCGGCAAGATGCGAGGAACTGCTAACCCTAACCCGGATCAATGCACCCCCCTTTAAACCTACTAGCACATTCATTCTTCCAGAGTCTTATTCTCAGCATTTGTCAACTCTAGCATAACAGCTATACGGCATTTTCTAGCTCTGGCGTAGACGCACAAAACTTCCAAGCACTAAACTTCCTTAATATGCTTGAACCGGAGCAACCTTAAGCCTTATTTGTTTACCCTTTTTTGAAAGGCTCCAAATCCAAACCCAACCATCAGGCCAGCCTGAATGCTTGCCAAGCGGAAGCTACCAATTCAGGTTTGGGCGTAAAGCCGTAAAGGATGTGTCGGACCAACTAGCAAGAATAATCCCATACGGCCCTGCACTATGTTACTTTCATACCCCCAACCCCTATTCCAATTTCTGAATCTCCTGTATGGAAACACATAGAACCACACAAAGCCCCGTAAAACCTTATTCTTCGTATGACAGTCCCCTTAAGAGGACCAGACGAAACCAACGTTCTTCCTCGTAACGAAAGGCCATAATGAGAGCACCCCGCCACCCCCATGTTTTGAATTTAAGAAGACCAGCTCCAGGCCATGAACACGCAGGCTCGGCAAGGGGAGGTGGCAGGAGCCACACAGCTGTTCGAAGCTCGGGGCAGAGGTGTTCTTTCCTAAGCCTTAAAAGGTCTAGGGTTAGGGTCTATCCACAACAGTTTCAGGCTTTGGTTTCGAGGGTTCCGGGATGCTTTGAAGAGGATTCAGTCAAGAGGGCTTCAGGCTAACGGGCTTAGGGTTCAGGGGTTTGTAGGTCATCGCGGGCCTCACAACGCGGGCTGTTTGCGTTTTGCTAAGCATATCGCCCATTCCGTCTCGTGGACTTGGCCTTTCCACGGGTTCCCAAAAGGTGCTTTGTAAGGTTCAGTCAACCAAATCCAGCCTTCCGGTTTTGGGAGGTTAGGTCTTCGTAGTGTGTAGTCCCCATGCAGGGCACACCGGGTTTTCAGGCTCAGGGCTCGGCGGCTTATGCTTTAGGGCTAGGTATGGCACGGACCTCAGAGCCCACATGCACAAAAGACGGGGTAAGGGGTTGGTTCAGTCAAGAGGTTTCAGGCTTTGGTGTTTAAGGGTTGAGTGTGTTCGGGTTTAACCACCGCGTTTAAGTGTAAGGGTGTTTCGGAATTTTGCTACCCGAAACGACATGTTAAGCTCAAGAACCACAACCTCGAGCTTCAACCCAAAATCCCCAGCCCCCAAGCGACACACTAAAGCCTTAAGCGCTGGAGCCCCGTGCCATGTACACCCTGCATCCCCTACATAGATCTACGAGTAGAGCCAAATATGCTTTCAGTCTTTAAGTCTGCAGGTGCTACGCCAGAAGCTGCACGCACCCTGAACCCCGAGCCCTTGTTCAATGAACGCCTTTGTTTGAGCCCAGGATCGGTTGAGGCACGCTGCTCTTCAACCGGATGTTGTCAGCTACAACTGCCATTCGGACATACCAGAACGTATCATATCAAACAACAGAAGAGAGAGAGAGAGAGAGTGGGACAGAGATCTTTGCATATGTGATAAGTTGCAACCTGACAAAAATTGCACGTCCCCCAGAAGTGCCACACAAAGGGGGACCCCAGTGGCCGGGCGATTTCGCACATTACCCATGGCCTGGAGAAGGAGAGAGAGAGAGAGAGATATCCCCATAACAAATGGGGGACCCATGTGGCCGGGGGATCTTAACCGTCCCCCATGCCCTATGGAAGAAGAGGGCGAGAGAGAGAGAGAGAGAGAGCCAGAGCTACATTAATTGTTCGGGTGTTCTTCCTGGGGATGTGTACTTCGAGCGGATCTTGCAGTCTTGGAGTTATAGTTATAGTGACAGCATATACCGGCTCTTGGTTACGGCAGGACCGGGCTGTGTCATGTGCAACACGTCAGCTTTGAGGACAGCATTTTACCAGAAAGCAACGTTGCCAACCAAAAGAGAAACTACCTCTGATGACAATATGCAAGTCATGCTTGTTCAAGCTGCACTGCACCCCTTGAACCGAGAATGCCTGACTCTGCATTGAGGCGTTCTCAATGCCTGCGCTAAAGCCTCAGACGCTGAGCATGCCGTGGCTCGGCAGAAAGTTTGTCACCTGAACGGTCTTTACGTCATGATGTTGGTATACAGGCTATTGATACTCGTACTACTCGGAGCTGGTTGTGAAAATTGCGGCATAGTCATGGTCGTTGTGGTTATGGTCGTGGTGGTGGTGGTGGTGGTGGTGGTGGTGGCGGCGGCGGTGGTGGTGGTGGGGGCGGCGGCGGCGGTGGTGGTAGTGGTGGCGGCGGCGATTACTACGACCAGTACTGCTGCTACCGCTGCCGCTACTGCTGAAGCTACTGCTGCTACTTTCCGATTCGGCGACTTACGTCCAGTTCGATTTCCGAATTCTGCAATTAAAATGCAGGTTTCATGCAGCCCGTTCCTACGCACGTCATGCAGACCCCAGCGGCGACGTTACGTTTGTGATCCGACCTCATAGGCATGAGCAAGGCCAGAACGAAGCGGAAGAGTGGAAGCAGGATTGGCAATCCAAGCATCGTACTGGTACTTCCAAACCCAACCGTGCGGCATGTTCCTTCATGTCTCGATATTTTTGTGGTATCTCCACAAGCCCTCCCTGCCATTGCCTCGCGAAGCTAAGGAATTCTGGATGCAAAGCTTGCAGGACAGTGGCTTGGACTGTGTTGAAGGATCTTGAGAGTTTCCCCTTGATATGAGGGTTGTTCTAAAGGTCCTT